TCTTGTACAAAAAGTCACGAGGAGCAATTCCCCAATCACTATAACCGATTTCAAATGGTGCTAGAAAATATTATTGACTCTGAACACCAAAAGAAATCAGTCATCCTCTAAAGGGGTTACGGAGATCTGCAAGGACGAAGAGTTAAGTGCTGGATAGTATCTGACACTGGAGAATCCCCAAACACTTGAAAAATGTTAATTAATCACCTCTGTGGCATTATTCGCTAACAAACATTAAAAGCATTATTAAAATGTTGATGAGAAAACAAAGGTACAGTGAAAACTTTCAAAATCAACCATTAGCTACACACGTCTTTTAATACAGTGAAATACTTATAAAAATATCATCTTGAAGCACTTAAAAATTCTCCAGATTTCAGTAAACTTGGACAACGTGACCAACTACAGTGTGTTCCAATTCTCACAGTTGTTGGTGCTGGTCATTTCCATCAGCTACAACGAGCACATTCAGCCATCAAACTGTGACCTGAACACCGTAAAGTCACACAAAGTAAATAAAATATTCTCACCTGTCAAACACGCCGCAATGAAAAAGCAAGACACGCAGCTGGGATGCAAACAGCATCCAGAATTCCCAGCGCTTCAGTGCAGAATCACCTGCTTTAAATTCTATTGTGTGTCTCGTATGATACATGTACAAGGTGTTTACAAGGTTGATAATGAACCAACAAAGACGTACCCATGTAAGGCTAAAACATGTTTTGAGCTGAAAAAAAAGTGGAGTACATACAGTTCCCTTCCTAATTCCTCACCATATTGTATGAACTAGCTGTGCTAGTTTGTACCAGTCGGTGCACTAAAATCAACATCTTCAATATTGAGCTGGAATTCTGTGCTACACTTTTTTGTGTTGTCTCTGTCTCATGAGCCCTCCTCTGGTTCCGAAGCTGCCGTTCACCACTCACAAGTATTATAAACATGCTGACAGCAGAATTCCTGCCTTTGAAATCACACACTGCACAGCTCTCCCAAGAGTCACTCGGGCCACAGACCCCCACGGTCCCAAGGGACCTCATTTGGTGGTGGAGCTAATTACAACAGCAGAACCACACAAGGAAGATGTTGACCTTCTTTTCTTTTCCTCTGAGGCTTCTGAGGATCCGTTTCCCTGATGAAGGCAGGCATTCTTCCTCCAAGAACACTGATTTCAAATGGTGCTAGACAATGAATAGTTAAATCTAAACCACCATATGAAACCAGCTTCCTGAGGGAGCTTGTGTCTAGCTGGGAGGATATTCCTGTAACAATAAATTGGAAATGCCACAGAAGAATACCTAGCCATGTCGGGTTTTTATTTTTCCTATTAAACAGTTGATGCTTTTTTCTTATTCTTACCCTTGATTTTGGTTTGAGTCACCAAATGTTCACTTCTGTTTTCTATTATATTGCTACCAACAGCAAGAGAATTGCTTGCAGCAGTGTCACTCTGAAGAATTTTGTTAGCCAAGCTTGAACAACATGTACAAGGCTTTAACAAGGAATGAAGGGCCTTCATCCTACTTGTGTTGCTGTCTTCTATTAACACATTCTGTCTGCTGAGCTCTGCCCACAGCACAGCTACCTCCAGACACACCAGCAAGGGCAGTGCTGCTGCAAACTCCCTCTTGTGACGGCAAAACACGTGTGACAGTTTCTCCTGCAGGATGTCACCGTGTCTTCATTTTAACAGCAGCAGCCGAAGTACCAGCGTGGGACAGAAGCTACACGTTAAGGCCTAAATGCTGAATATTCAAGGGCCATGCAGAGAGCCTGAAAACCTGCCCACCTGCCTGCTAGCCCTGGCTGAGGTGGGATTTGCAAATTAGGGAGAAAGTGTGTGCCCAAACCTAACGCTGAGGACTGCATTGATTACGGATTGTTCAGACCTGGCACTCACCACCTGGAGCCAGCACTACTTCTTAGAAATCTGACACAGGGCTTTTTCCTGGAAATCTGCTACTGAAGTGTGTTCTAGACAATTTACTCCCTTTCAAGCAGATTTAATTTTTTTTTTTATAACCTGTCTGCAGCTCCTCATCTCAGCTGGCAGAACAAACCTGAGATCCAAAGGACCACATCTGCAGGGCGACGTCGAGCAAGCCTGAGTGTCTGCACAGCCCCGCTCTCGGCGACACATTCTGGGAAGCACTCGATAGGTAACATCACAGCCTCTCAGCCAGGAAACTAATTACCCCCAAGCAGCAGCAGAGAAGGCACCACGGAGTTTCTGGTGGCAGAGAGAGGCACAAAGAGACCGTGTGCCCCATCCGGGTGTAGAACAGCACCGTTTTAAGGAAAACAACCCAACGGAGGAGGCTGGGCCTCCGAGAGCGGGCAGTTACTGGAAGAGCTGTCACTATGCCAGGCCACATCAGCACTGGATTTACTGTGCAGCTTTTCTGTCCAGAAAGTGCCTGTGTGGAGCAGAGCAGGCAGGAAGCAGCAGGACCGAGCTGTGCTCCTGCCCGTGTGTCCCCAGGCACTGCCCCGAGCACATACAGCTGCCTGGGAATCTTCCACGCAGGCACACAAAACACTGGTGCTCTAGCAATACAATAAAGCTGCTTTGAAGCGGGGGCAGAACCAAACTGTTTCCTCCAGCAGTGCAAAAGCCCCAGATTTTGCCTTACTGCAGTATTTTCAAGAAGAGTGAAGCATTTTAATTCTTCCTCCCTGCAGTTCATTACCCTTTGTGCTCTGTACCAGCTCCTGGAAGCCCTGTGAAAGTTGATTTTAGTACATCAGAACTACAGAATAATTTAGGTTGGAAAAGACCTCCAAAATGATCAAGTCCAACCTCTGACTTAATACCACCTATGCCCACTAACCCATGTCATGAAGTGCCAGGTCCACTCGTTTTTTGAGAACTTCCAGGGATGGTGATTCCACCACTGCTCTGGGCAGCCTGTTCCAGTGCTTAACCGTTCTTTCAGTGAAGAAATTTTTCCCAATACCCAGCCTGAGCCTGCAACTTGAGGCCATTTCCCCTTGTCCTGTCCCTAATTCCCTGGGAGAGGAGACCAACCCCATCAGGCTCCCCTCTCCTGTCAGGGAATTGTAGAGAGCGAGAAGGTCCCCCCTGAGCCTCCTTTTCTCCAGGTTGAGCCCCCCCAGCTCTGTCAGCTGCTCCTCACAGAACTTCAGTTCCAGACCCTACACCATCACCCAAGATGAACCCATCTGTGGAGTCCTGATTACAGGCAAAAAAGTATTTTCAAACTCTTCAGGGCGCAGAAAACCGTGTAAAAGACTAATCACATCATTTCCTAAAGCTTTATCACCTTCCAAGATGCAGCTCTCTTCCTTTACCACAAGGACAACAAAACCAACCAGCTTAGACTAGGAACCAAACTTCTAGATGGCTGAAGGAGAGAAATCAAGTTAGTGGGGACAGTTCTCACAAGGGCATCTGTCAGCAGTACAGCTGACACAGTCCTCTCCAAGAAAATCTTCATGAGAAAGTCCAAGAAACCTGAGATCCATCTGTGAAACAAGGGAAGCAATGACACTTCCCAGCCATTATCTTCCCAGGACAAGGCTAAACCGTGCTGTAGCATCTCTTCCACACATTGCATTCGTGACACACATGGATTTGAAGCCGAGGTCCGGCTCCATGGCTCTGCCTTTACCACATGATCTAGGACGGGTGCAGACCACAGCATCTCCATCTGACTATCCAGAGAGCAAGTTCTGCCATTTAATATCATTTGCACTTCTGAAGAAAGCATCTTTCAGAACTTGTAATAACTCTGTGTCTTTCTAGAACACGGCTAATGAGAAACACGCTCGCGTTAGGGCTGTAAACTGTCATTTCTAAATTGGAAAAACAAATGAACTGCACAGAGAGAGCTATTGTGCTGCTCCAAGATGCCTCCTTCTAATTAGGTCCTGGAAGTTTTAGAACATTTTCAGATCTTGAACTGCTCCATCCTTCTTAGATTTAATGATCAGAAGAGATGAGGGCAACTTTCTCATTGAGCTGGGAAGAAGAAGAGGAACAGAGGAGTTAATTTTTTTACATTTACATGCAAGAGCTTGGAAAATAGGAAGAGCAAACCCAGAATTCACTGTAAATTGGTAAAACCTCTAGATGGAAGAGCATTTGATTACATTTTTGTTTCCGTAATTACAAATTAAGTGTTCTGTAATCCTCCAGAGGAAATTATGAGAATGACATGCCAGTGACTTAAGCCCTAATCTTAAATACTTCATAATTCATGTTTTTATTTGACATTGATGGGATGACTTGCATGAGTAAAGCTTTGTCTGCAATTAAAGCACCGCAAGAATAAAGTTTACAATGGTTTTGTTTTGCTGCTGAGTAACTGTACTGATTTACAGGTGGTTTAGCTGCATTCAAACACCTATCAGGGAACCTCTCTCTTCCACTGACGAATTCCCGCAGAATTTCTGCACTTGGAATAATTTGAGAACTGTGATCTCATCTGGGACTGCGAATGACAACTGTGGGTGCTTTATCAGATTAATCAGGGATAATCAGAGAGAACATGCACTGGGTGCGACTTGGAAAGACTTCCACGTGGACTAATGATCCTGCACAGGAAATTCATTAAAAAAATAAGTCCTACTGCTTCCTTTCCATGCCCTGCCACAACAGGAGCTGTGTAAATGCATTTTGTGAGAGCTTGACTTAGGACAGCTTTACGATCCATGTGAAAGACCGAGCCAGCCTGTGATTTGCAGACAATGGCCTGTGAGAACATTACATCTGAGAAACTGCTCAACTTACCGTAACTTTTTAAATTCCCCCCCCTTTTTTTTTTTTAAATAAAATGTGGATCCAGGGGAAGATGACAGAGTGACAAGTCTGCAGAAAGGTTCTGTCTGTAGCAGGGGAAGGGACTGTGAGAACTTCCTACTTAACGCCTCGCCGTGGATCTCATTTATGAGCTGCTGCAGACACCCCATGGCATGATGGAGATGAAGGAACCACTGAGAAATTATCTGTCAGCTGAAAAACCAATTAATACTAACTGCAGTGAGAAAAGAACTGTCTACCCAGACAGAAATTGAGACTGTGAAGTCAGTTACAGATGTCTTTAAGGGAATTTTTTTTTTTGGTCATTTTCAACTTGAACTTAAACCACAGCTATTGGGGAAAAGCTGCTTCATCTTTTCTTTTTCTGCACCATCAATCCCCCAGCGTTTTCACCACCAGCTTAATGAATTCCAACTATCAAGAGAGCTCATCCGCTATGTAATTTGTCTTTTTTTGTTCCCTTCACTAAACAAGCAGGAAAAATGTTTTTAATTTGCAAGGCTGAATAAATGCCTACTGTGTTTGCCAAGACTTTATTGACATTCATGGCTGTCCACAAAGCTGACTGACTTCTCACAGAGATGGTTTATCTCCTCAAGTAAAAAAAAATAAACCTGCCCGAACAAGAAGATGTTAATCTTCCTTAATAAAATAAATGAAAAGCAGCAGTTCAATAAATAATCCTGTGGCTAGTGAAACCCCTTCATCCAGGATATGGTCCCAGAGCAGATTTTTGTTGACAGCAAGATCACTTAGCATTGGGACACCCTCCAGTGCTCACTGCTGCCTCTGATGCTGCAGTTCATGTCACCTTCAGTTGTACCAATACGACTGCCCATGGGCCACGAAGTTCATTCAAATGATTCTAATTCAAAGGAAAAAAACCAAAATATAGGGTTTCTTTTCTCGACTGAGTTATTTTCAGCCATCTGGTTTTCCGCACGGTCAGGAAAGAGAATGGCACTGCATTGCTGCTGGGCTGGAAATGAATGGCTGGGAGTGGGCAGAAACTTATTAAGCTGGCAGTAGCAAAAGACATGAACTGTGGAATTACACCTTGGATAGCATCAAATCCCATCTCTCTTGCTCAGCTGGTCACGAGGAGTTGAGATGAGTTTCAGCCTGCAACGAAACACAGCTCTTGAACTTTCATGAGAAAATCAATACACTGAACTCTGAGGTTCTTACTCAAGTTTTACTGGGTTTTTGCACAAGGTCCAACTTCCCCCAACAGGCCTGAATTTTTCCATTTGAATTTTTCTTACTGAACAATTTTGCTGTCTTATGTTAAATGGGCAGTGTGCAAGAAACAATCAAAGCCTCCACGAATGGAATTTAATATGATCAGAAGGTCTGCAGTGGCTTGATATAAACAGGTAAGGACAAAAAGCATTTGTGAGGAAATTACTGACATGAAAAACCATTACTGCAAAGATTTCCTACACTGATGAGAGTACTTCCATTCCTTCCTGTGCTTTGTTTAGCTGCACTGAGAAGAACTACAAAGTAAGAGATCTGGGGAACATCCCTCTGGAACAGGGACACAGCTCTCAAATAGAGACAGTTATTTCCCACTAGTGAAACATCCAATTTATCCATTATGCACACACAATACCTTTATCTTTTTAATTTCAAAGCTTCTCAAAGCTTTGAGCAATAAAGGCTTGATGGCTACAAGGTATTTATAACAGCTGATACCAAGGAAGGACACAGATGTTCTGTACCTCAGAAAAAACAGCCTCCACCATGTACAGCTTTCTCCATGTGCTTCTGGGACAATTCACTAATGACAGGTTTGTCATCAGAATCTGGAAGAAAAAAACAAAACACAAGAAGCTGTTTGAGTTAGTCCCCTCTGTGTTGTTCTGCAGAGAGATAAATTAAAATACAACTTCAGAATCATTTTTCTCTTCCTCCAGGTTCTTACACAGGCTTTTTAGCCACGTTATGGCTCCTCACAACCCGAATTTATGTGAGCGCATTTATGGTCAGAACAGGCAATCACAGTGTACCACTAAGCAACAGCAGTAAACACAGGTATCATGTTCCCCTTGGAAGGAGTAATTTCTGATTAGAGCTTCAAAATTCATCAAAAGAAATTGCTGTCTCTGTTTCATAACAAAGTACCTGTTACTCCTTTTAAGATATATCCAAAGATGTATCCAAACCTCCTGGCAGACTCCTGTGAGGTGCAGTCCACCTGTGCACTGACTCCATGGCATTTTGAGCCCTCATGCCACAAGGAAATAAACCTTTGTGGAGGCAGAATTCATATATAGCAGGTGCCAGAGAATCACCTGCTGCATACAGCAATATCCTTGACGTAGAAGTTGCCTCAGATTTACTCTGAACTCTGTTTTGAAACCTCTTCAGGCTGATTTTGGGGATTAGCAGCAAAGGAAATCCTAAAAATACAAAACCAGGCTTATCAAGCTGGGGAAAAAAAGCACTAAGATGTTTTTGTGACACAGGCTTCAGGATATGAATTATGCATCACCAAAAACTGACTTCAGTTTGGATGGGAGGAGGGAGATTTCTGTGCATCCAAATCCCAGCACAACGGGCACAAACTGCTCTGCAGGGAATTATGATCTGCATCCTGTAAAAACATTATCAATCTGAGAACCCTCCTTTTTGCCTGAGTATTATTTTGTGTTAATTATGAGAACTTGAGGCAGAAATACCCTGCCTCAAATATGTAATAACAAATACCTTCTTGGAATCAGTCACCATCCATATCAGAGAGGGCTACTAAAACCATAAGGAAGCAGGAACAGCCTGGCTTCAGCCTCCCTCTATTTCTGTCCACATTCCCACCCTGTGCCCATCACCATAGCAGCTCTTCAGTCAAACACCAACCTCTGGGGCAACAGAGGCAGGAAAACAGTGGGTTTTTTCCCAAAGGGATCAAGATTTGCTGGATAAAAGCAGCTGATGTTGTATTTTAGCAATTGGACAGGACAGACATAAGGAACAATGTAATTCCCTGCTGACTGCTGAGGTATGTTAATGAAGAGATGATAATGAAGTAGGCACCCACAACAAAACTCACTGTTGCTTGTCCATGTCTTTACATTATAAAAACACTTTTTTTTTTTTCATTTCTACTGCTGCCTCACATATTTAAAAGTATCTCATTGGGATCTGGGAGAAAAACAATGACCATTACGAATAAAAAAATAATATTTCTTCGGCTGAAAATAGTTCTTCTGACTGAAAGCTTTTGGGATCTAACAGCGATGAGCATCATTTTTAGCAACCACCCTGGCACTGTAACTGTTATATAAGTTTCAATAGAAGTGCTAATCCCATCCCTGAGTAGAAATGTCCATCATGGAGCACTCCCAAAGCTACACCTACTGTTTGTATCCTCGTGCCATGTGTCATATCACAGTCACTTCTGTCCCTACAAAGTGAGCTCTTAAAACCAGGCACCCTTTAATGTTGTTGCCTCTCTGCTTATCTCCAGCACTGGATTAATTTATGCTGCTCCACGAATCATCATGGCAGTTTGTCTGTCAAAGGACCTGGAAAGAACTGCTCTTGCATATCTTTTAAAAATAACAATAAACACCACGAAAACATTTATTAGTCTGTAATTTTTGTCTGATATAATACAAACTCAGACTACTTTGGAAGACTCCACAATTGCTGAAGAGGAAGTGAAATTAAAATTATCACACAGAAAAGAAGATAACAATTAAGAAAGATAGGAAATTCAATCAGACCACTTCAAGTTTTAACCTCAGCTGAATTCTTACGCCTCACGAACACACTGCAGCGGATCTTTTATCCAAAGACAAATATTCTTTACTCCTCCCATCATGCATGACACTGCAAAAAAACCCTGAAATGCAAGCCAGAAATACTTTCAGAGTGAAACAAGCCACCTCTGAACCTTTCCTTATTATGCTAAAGAAGCACAACAAGGAATGGACGGGGCTCTGAGCAATCTGGTCTTAGTGGAAGGTGTCCCTGCTCGGGGCAGGGGGTTGGAACGAGATGATCTTTAAGGTCCCTTCCAACCCAAACCAGTCTGTGAAGCATAAATCAATTTTTTTTAAAGATATCCACTTCCTACATTCTGCTGCTGCACAGTGACAAATATAATATATGCCAGATACATTTACACTACATATTTCACAGCAGGAAAAATAACCGACGCAGAGATCTTACTCCACCAATGTACTGGAAACAGAAATTATTTACCTTTCAGTTTGCACAGATTTATGAACAGCTTTTCCCTCAAACAACATGTTTGTCCTTTGGCATATGCAGGACACCTTTGTGAGATCAGCACCTGGAATTTATGAAATGGTTTATGTAAATGCGTGTGTGCGCATTTCCAGTTTAGCTTCCCCTAAAAATACAAAAAAGTCACATGGTTACGGTAAAGATAAAGATTTTAGGGACTGAGCAATGGCCTGTAAGCTGTGCTAGAGACTGGAAGAGCCAGGAGATGACAGGGATCTTCACTGCATGCTGAGCAAGGATCATCTGGATCAACTGGTGAGCATCTGGCAGGGCTGGAATCAATTACATTTGCACAACCACGCACAGCTTAGAATATTTAGTGATCTTTCCTCCTGAACCCCTGCTACTACTCAGTTTGTGCATGTGACTTCTGTTACAGGACAGTCACATCATCAAGAGAAAAGCAGGCAGTGTGCTTCAATAATAAACACTGATGCTGGCACACGCCATGGAAATCACAGAGCTAATCAGAGGACAACTTAAGGCTCCACATATTGAACACAGCCAAGCAAGAGATGGGGAAAGGGGCTGTTGGATTCTGAAAGTAATTCTGATTTATGGAATAGTTATTGCTCTGATCGACTACAGCTATTAAACATCTTTAGCTGCACTAGGAAAGCGTGTCCCTATCCATCAGGAAAACATAATGTGCACATATCCAATATTTGTGGTCTTATTAGTCTCCTCCCTGCAACTGGTTTCACCTGTTGAAGCTGCAAACAAGGTCAGCATCTCCTAATTGGAGCGTCAAAGCATGGCTGAACTTCTGATTTGCCTTGAGACCTGAGAAACTCACTTTGTGCAGATTTTAAAGCTACTGTAGGTATTTACCTTCCCAATGATTTCCAAGAAAGGCAACTACTGTAGCAGGGCAGAGACCCTGTCATGGATCAAAACACACCAATCTAGAAGCTTCACATAAAACAGAATAAAATGTGTTTGGTTTCTAGTTTACTGCCTGAGGCAAAAAAGTGAGAACACACATAAAAGAAGAGAAAGTATAAGGAATAATGAGACAATAAAACCTGATATAAAGGCAGATTAACAGCCCACTGGCCTTTCTACTCTGGGCTGCATAGAAAGATATAGTTTTAAAACAGAGGCTTAAATAAAAAGGTATTTTTGTGGCATATACAGAGGGCTGGCATGGGAGAAAGTTCCTTTCTCTTGGCACTACACTGTGCTATCAATCCACACGTGTCCAAGCCACACAAACACCTTGCAAGGAAAACAAAATGAGGCACAGAGGTGCAGGTCTGAAACTTGAGTGCAGAGAGAGATAGAGAAATCAAATCCACGTTTGCAAAGAAATCTGGGAAGAGGTAAGATGCAGAACGTGCACAGAGAGAATGTCACCGTGCACATTAGAAATATGATTAAGAAAGACCACAACCCCCACCCCCAGAATTACAGACATCCATGCAGAATGGAATCTCCAGCTGGAAAGAGGATTGATGACACTGAAAGTCTGACCAGTGAACAAAAGGGAAGGATGAAGAACTAATTATAAGATGTGGTTAAGAAACAGCAACTAGAAACTTCAAGGTTTCAAATGAATTCAAGGGACAGATGTCAGTGTAGGACGGAATCACAGAGGGGAACACAAAACTGCAAATGACTGGTGGAACTTCCTATTTCTAAAAATCTGGCCATTACTAGACAAGGAACGCTAACTAAACCTAAAGAAACACCAGTTATTTAGTCAATGAGAGATTTCACTCTTTATTCTGCCAGCATTCAAGTTCTCCTGTTTGTAACAGACATACTAAGTTAATTCATCAATGACTAAATGAGTTCAGTTAGTTCACGGCATGTAATTAATTAATTCTCCTCTGTTAACAGGCACATCCTAATGTCATTTTGTACTATTTTGCAAATTCAATTTAATTTATTAGACACAATAAGAAAAAGGGAATTTGAAGGCAGAAAACAAAACTGCAGCGAAGACAGATGCAAAACCTACGGAGATAATGCACAACATAAATACCATCTGGCAGCAAGGTCCCTTCCATGCCCAGCAGGGATGACTGTTCTGCATTAACTGTTTTGTGCTTAGAACAGGTTTGGGATGATGGGTACAGGAATGTGGCAGCTGCCAGCTCGTGGTGGTGTCCCCACAGCCATTTCCCTGCAGCTGGACTGAGTTCTCAACTTGTACTCCCCCCTTTCAGTCCCTCAGCAAACAGTTTCATCAAGAAATTCTTTTTTCACAGAACTACTTTAGATTTCCTTGCGGTTTTAATAGTGGCCAAGGAAATTCACTGAAGATTATCCCCGTAATTCCTACTGTAGCCACTGTGAAGGTTAAAAGGATTAAAGAGTCGAAGTGATGACTGGGATAATAAAGTATGTGCTATGTAACGCCAGCTGCACAGGCCTTGACAGAGTGAAGTCTAAGAAAAGACAGAAGAGGAAAGTCTTCAAACACAAAACCTGACGATCGCTTGAACGCGGTGCGTACGTACACCTGGCACTCCAAAATCCAGCCGTAAAGCAGGAGCTGGGAGAGGAGCTCAAACAGGTGTGGGATGGTGGTGTCAGGCAGCACATGCACCAGTGCAAAGGTGGGAGCAGCACCACGTTAGGCTGGATCTGCCTGTCAGACACACCAACTCCTTCAGCAGCTTCCTTTCAGCACAGAGAGAAAACAGCAGAGACGCTCCCTCAGCCAAGGCAGGAAATCAGCTGAACCATGATAATGTGAATGGACTACAATTAAACCCTCATTACCAGAGAAACTAAGGTAGGTTTCCATCAATAACAAGCCTTTGTTGGTGTAGCACACACAGGACAGGAGCTTTGGGAAGGCCAGTCCTGCTGCTGAAGAAGGCAGTGAGACACGGCTGTCCTCAGACGGCTGCCTGAGGAGCATCTCTTTGCCATGAGACTGGGAGGCTGCAGCCATCATCCACGGGGCCTGTCTTGGTTCTGCCTAAATTTTGGTGGCATTTAGGTGCCTGAAGTCCAGACTGATAAAACTCCCTACTCAGTAGCTGCTGGGGCATCAGCACGTGCCATATCAGAGCCTGGTATTTCCTGCTGTTCACAGCTGAAGGTGTCCCACCTGGAGCGAGGGAACCTGCCTCTCACTGACATTCTGCTGCAATCTATTTAGGCAAAAAGCAGCCTGAACACCACAAAGTCCCCTGAAAGAGCCTAAAATCCACCACAATCCATGCCAACACCAGAGAACAAGGCTGCACAGGAGCGCTGGTGCTCACTATCTTCACTGGACACAGAGGCACCCACATGGAAAGCAGGAGAGCCCCTTTCTATGCCTTCTCAGCCTTCAGCTTCACACTATCCTGGAAAACTGGAGAAGCACAGATCCAAGATGTGAGGCTGAACATCTCTCTGCATTGGCTGTGCAGCTCCTGAGCTTCCCTGTGCTCCCTGCCACACACACACACACCCTCAGAGCGACTGATGCCCAAAGCTCAGCCTAATGTGCCCCAAGCAAGTTCCCTCTGGAGTGTCTCCCTCTCTGCAAACTATTTTGATTCCAAAATTCCACGACATCCACACCCCTGCCATCTTCATAATACCACAAGCGTCCCCCCAGCCTTTTCAGTCTCATTCTGTTCCATTCTGGTGGAAACTGAGCTCTGCCCTGTCATCCAACATTTTTTCACAGCACATGTAGGAAGTATTTCCTAATTCTGGCTCAAGCAGTTGGGCTCCACACCCAAGGGCAAATATCCAGCACGGAGACATAAACTGGGCACCCCTGTGCTTTAGAAAAATTTAAAAACCAGCTCAGTGCTGGATATTTTTAAAGAGGGTGTATGTTGCATGTACAGGGGGATGGAGCTAAGCATCATTTTGATCTGAAGCTTAAAATACACAACCTTTCCAGGGCTACTTCTGTATTTCCATGGAAAACTGGTAATATTCTTGAATAAAATGAGTAATTAAAAGAGTTTTTAAAGGGCTTACAAGGATAGCAACACAGAGAGAACTGATTGGGACCACGCCACAGCACTGCAGTAAGACAAGGAATGACTATGATTATGTTTGAGGTACTGTAATTTAGGAGAAACTGTAGCAGAACTGTTACAGCAGCTTGCTAATTCTATTACTAATCCTTACATCACACTTTCCAGACTCCTTACGGATTTCCCTCCTAACAGCCTCTGCTTTATCAGAGTTTTTTTCGCAAAAGAAATTACAGTAACTTATGCTACGAGTGAGTAACTGTGTCAGGGGGTTGGTAAGGAATATTCACTTGCATTTCCAGACTGGAGCAGCCCTCTGCTTACTGTGCTCTCTACACCATCAATCTGAAACAGCCTTCACCCTGCCTTCAGGGCCATGAAAGTTATATTAGGTTTCCAGTTAAGGTGAGGATAATGTGTATCTGGTATGAATGTGACAGGATAGGCTAAACCACCTAAAAATAACTGAAGTCAACATGCAAACTGCACTCTACAGATCTGTAAAATACTGTACAGATCTATAAAACAGTACAGACTCAAAGCAAGAAGTCAGACCACAGGAATACAGATTATGAAACTGTGAAAATTCATTTAAAGCTGTATAATTAAGCCCACACAACAAATACTTCTTTTTCTTCTCTTAAATATATCTCCCTCACTTCACATGTCAATATTACTAATAAACTGCCATGTATCCTTGCCCATGGCTACAAAGCTCTTTCTTTAAACACCCCAGTCCCAGATATTTTCGGATGTAAAGGAATGGAGGGAGAGGACTGGCGACAATGCCCCAACTGAACTTGTATTTTTTCTCCCCAAATCCATGCTACTGCATCCTAAAAGAGAGATGCTGAGCATATCTGCTGCATCACTTCTCTGAATCCCTGCCAGCACTATCTGCTCTCTGAAATCCCCCATGGAGATTTCCAACACACCGTGAGCCCTGCACAGCTCCGCCTCTGACCCTTCCTGTTTAGGACTCCTGAGCAATGGGCTTTATCTCATTAATTCAGTGTTTTTTAGGAAACTACTTTTTCCTGCCAGTTTTTAAACCCAGAGGAATTTTCTAGATGTGCAGTGACAGCGCATGAGTAATAGCTCCCTCATTAAA